CAGCCTCTACAAGAACACAAACTGCCATAGCTGTCTAGGGTGCAGATAGTAGTACTTTTCTACGTAATGCACAGATATAATACACTTTGTAACATGTTAACATGAATATTATTTTTTGTGTGTGTTTTGATGTTATGTTCTCAGATGAATATAATGTGTTTTTTTTATGTTACTCTGAGTGTATATCGACACCGAGCAGGCTGAAAAGTTAGCCTGACCACGGTGGGAATCGAACCCGCGACCTTTGGAATACTAGTCCAATTTTCAGCCTGGCTGGTGTGGATATACACTCAGAGTAACATCAAAGAACATTCATGATTATTGTAGTGTTTGTATTCTGCTGATGACTTTACTTATACTATAAGTATATAGTATAGTACAGTATATATATGACTTAACTGTAAGGTGCAGATATTAGCACTTTTCTACGTGATGCACAGATATTTAACAAATATAAAATTTTCCGTGTTGATGTACAGTTATATTAACACGAGTGGAAATTGGGAAAACGAGAAATTGTGTGGAAACACGCAATATGCTTATGTCAGCAATATGCAAATTAGGTAAAGGCATTAATTAAGCATGCGAAAGGCTGATTTTTTAAGGGAAAAATGGGGATTTTTTCTAATACCGAAGTTGTGAAGCTTCACCAGTAATAGATAGTGATTTACTTTATCAAAAGCTTTGGCAAAGTCGAGGTAGACAATGTCAACTTGTTTTTTTTGCTCAAGTACGTTAAATTGAGAACTTGATGGAAAATGTGTAGCAGCTGCGCATAGATATAATGCAGCTGCGATGTTGCAGGTCTGCCTCCGAGAAAACCGTACTGGAGTTCGTAAATTTGACCGTATATGTGTTCTATAAGCCTATTATATATATACAGCGTTCAAACACTTTCGAGACTAATGACAACAGTGATATTGGTTTGTAGTTGGTTACGTCATGAATAGGGCTTCCTTTTGGAATGATGTTGGCCAGCTTCCATTCGGACGGCAAAATTCCACAAGATAAGCTCTTGTTGAACAGTTGGCATAGAGATGAACTGATGTTAACTGCTCAGTTCTTCAGCAATAACGCTGGAATTTTGTCGGGACCAGTAGCTTTGACTTCATCCAGTGCTTTGAGTACAACACATACTTCCTCTTCTGTTAACGAGATGTCTGCAATGGTGGTAAGGTCAGTCGTGTCGTTGTCAGGAGCAACAGAAGAAAAATGGTCGTCAGCAGTATCGGAATGTGCAATACTACTGACGACCATTAATGTATTGTCGTCATATTGACATATGTATATAGTTCAATTAAGATATAATTACAATGTATTGTCGTCATGTATATAGTTCAATTAAGATATTGGTGGGGTGAAACTTGTCTTTAAAAAGACAGCAGTTATATGTTATGGTTGTAAGATGTTTAATGTTTCAGCATATGTATATAGTTCAGTGATTTGTACAAAATTTCACACAATGCTGACGTCATATGATTGTTTTGTCGCTATCTCAAACGTGGGCGTCTAGTGTGGGTAGTGTTATGCAATAACCTCCCACGGTTTGTGTGTGAACTACCAGGAAAAGATTGAAGACATTTCGAGGCTCCTGATGAATGGCCTTTGCTTAAGACGACGAAGTGCTTCTGGTCGTTTTCGAGTAGTTCACACGCAAACCACGACAGATTATCGACTTTTGTTGTATCGGGTCAGAAAAATAACAGCATGTCGCCTTAACGGTATATGGTTCGCTGAAATAAAAATATTCCATCACATGATATTACAACACAGGCCATATTTAGAAGGTTGTAGAAATATTTTACGTCAGTTTACAAAGATCGTCTCAAAGTTAAGATGTCTTCTATAAAAAGCTGACATGTATTACTTTATTATAGTATTTTTGCACAAGTGAACATAACAAATCCTCCAACCTGATTGGTTAAGCTGTTATATTCACCTACAGGTGAATATAACAAAACTGAAATTTCAAAATGACTGCTAACCGTTTTGTGGAAGTTTACTGACAAAGAAATAAGCGAAATTAAAATAAATTCAGTACCAAATAACACAAAAGACTTGTGTAAAAATACTAAAACAATTATTCGCCTCAGGCTCGGTGATTATCGGGGAATATTCACCTCGACTTCGTCTCGGCGAATATTCCCCGATAATCACCGAGCCTGAGGCGAATAATTGTTAAATATCTGTATGAAACAGGTAAATAAAAACAACATTATATTGTGCAAGTATTATATAGAAACAAGACCAGGTTTTGCTGGGGAAAGCCCCTATGCAATTTAAGGTACACCCCCCCTATCAATTGCGTGACGTATGCATGTGTAGTGTACATATGTATCAGTGTATTTATGAATTATGACTGTACGACACACCCAGTTTTGCCCTTCATTACATTACTACAAAATGTCTTTCAAACGATTGCATGAATACGTTATACAGAGATGAATGGACCTTTCCCCTAAGGGGAAGTGATGTCACAAACGGAGACATCGAATTGGTCCAACCCGATAGTAAAGCCATTGTGCTTTAGGATGAAGTGCAGAAGATAGATTGATAGCGAGCAAACTTCGCATTGCCAAAGAGGAAAGACCGTGGGTACGAGATTGATATTATCAGATTTTAAAATTTTATTAATCTAATTATCAGAACTAAATTGGAAGCTGCGGAAGACGAGATTGCGGAGTTGAAAAGAAAATTGAGAAAAACGAACGAGGATTATAGACAAAAAATAAATGTAGAGAAGAAAGATAAGTCCCACTCCACCACGTCGCCTCCCCGGCCAACACCAAAGCAACGGAATAAAAATGGGTAAGTGTAATGTCAATGATTAAATGGATTCATTCATAACAAAGACAGATAATTCGTCCAGATGATCGGCAACTGCACTCGGGCAGCATCTGGTTGCATTTTTATTTATCCATATATAGCTTTCACTTGCATCGTCGTAGTATATCTACAAGAACTTGTGATTAATGCTTGGCAACTAGATTCTGTAGCTGAGTACTCAGAGCGCTGACAGTCTGTACACAGGCTAGCCCTCTAGCAAGAATCGAACCACTTGCGGCCCTGCGATTCCAGTGAAGCACTCTAACCAACTTGGCTACAGAGGCAGGTTGGCGAGCTCTAACCACAAATTCATGTATATACTGTATGGATTGGCCGATGATACTTCTTTAGTACAAATTGCGACCCATCATACTGAAAGAAGACTCTTGCGCCTGATTATAAAACACGTGAAATGTTTCTCATTGGTATAATTGTTCGATATAGTTCCCTGAAGAAAAGGATTAGTTTTCATGAAGATATCGTTAGAGAAGACAAGCAGGAAGATTTATTCAGTCGTAAAGAAGACGATGCCGCCAGAGTTTTACAGAGGAACTGGAAAAAGTATAATTATCAGGTTGGTAGAGATAATTGATGCAATTTGTGTTGCTTGCGTGTCAGTGGCGGGTTGGGGGGGGGGGGG